TGAGACTTTGGGGCTGTAGCTGCACATAAGCGAGTTGTTAGGTTAAAGATAAATCTATTCCCAATGTATTTGATAGGATGCTGTTCTCATTCGCACAATAGTCTGAAAGTACAATTAGTTGCAGTTATGCAGCCACTTGGACTCCCTTCTCTGAACAGACAGTTTAAGGATTTCCCGTGCTTCACTTGCACATTACAAAAAACACAGGAGTCTGCCACAGATTAGTGTAAACAATGATTCCTCAGTAGTCTTGGGAACCTTTTCAGACCTGGGCAGGAATGGTGCCAATTGGCCAGTGAAGGTTCATGCTAGAAGAGGAAGGTGGAAACCCAGGAATGTCTATATGGCGGGTAAACTTCCATCAGCTCTTCTGTTAACGTCAGAGTTCTCTGCAAAACAAGTTGAGAGTCTCCCAATGCATTATAGTCATCAAAGGAAATTGAGACCAGATCCTGCTAAGGAATGCTGAAGAACAACTTCCTCTTTCTGTTCCTTAAGAACATTGATGAACACATCATCAGAGACGGACAATGACAATTGACAACTAAGTCAAAATGAAGAATTTCCTGTGACAGAACCTAGAAATCAGTATCAAGGAGTTACAAGGGTAAAATTCAGCAAAGCACTGACATTGTGCTGAAAATGTCTCACAAAAGACTTAGAATCTGAAACTATAATAATGCAAATTAACATCTGCAAAGTATATATAGTATTTGTTTATTTTCTTTATATTTGATAGCAGGAGGTGGATTCAAAATGCCTCTGCTTGTCTGAAACAATTACTGGAGTTTGAAGTAAATGGATTTAATTAATATTAATGGTAGTGGGTTAAATTGGAATACCTGCAGACCGATAAGCTATTGTCAGTATAACACACCTCGGTTGTTATATTCCCTTTGTTTTAGTTTGGTTTGTTGTTAGGATATGTACAGGAAGGATGTAGGATTTCTAAATAGGTTCAGCATAATGTCAGCTTTCAGGAAAGTGCGGGCAGGGCACTCCTGTAGCTGAGTACCATCAATCTGCTTGTGAAACTGTAATTTTAGTCTGCAGAGCAGGGAAGTGATCTTTTCTCCGATAGGTGTGACAACCTGGAGATAGATCTTGTGATCATTTCACTTCTACAAATGTTTAATGCAGAAACATTCATTAAAAAATCTGCTTACTGTCTGATAATCGTCCTTGTGCAACAGTGGAATGTGTGGAACATGTACATTACACAGAGTCTGCAGGGAATATAACAACCGAGGCATATTACACTGGCAGTAGCTTATCCTTCTATAGTTTTCCACTTTAACCCACTACCACTTATGTTAAATAAATGTGCACTTTTGCTCTCATCCAAGTGAGAAATATCAATACATCTTCTCCACTTTGGTCATTATTACTGTTACAGCAATATTAGATGCAAAACTCCCTCCATTCTGCCCCAATATTGTGTTTTAACCCCCCACTCCTCCTCCTCCCCCCCCAACCCCCAACTACAGAATAGCCCTTCACACTGCACCAGAGTATTTCTTTTCTCTTCCCACATTAAGCTTCTTTATGTCCTCCAATCTTTGAACTGTGGAACCTGTGCCAACTAAGATTGTGCTGAGATTAGCTTAAACTAATTTTAAGTCAGACCTTCATAGCCCCAGAATAAGAAGGCTGGAAGTCCAATTGGTGTAAGCACTATATGAGAATACAATGCACCACTCAATCCTCTGGTAACATTTTCTATTAAAACATAATAATATTCACTCCTATTAACCAATATGTTTAATTATTTACTTCTGCTAAGTAAATACTGCGTTTCCACAGCCCAGCAGCACAATTCCTGGGTCTTCATTTGTTTTTCTTTTCCAATTTTCTCCCTTGTTCTCCTCTCCTAAAGATATCTACTCCTGCTGGGCTCCAGTTTCAGACCAATGGCTATTCCTAACAATGGGGTCACCCTCACAGATGTTATAAGGTGGTAACCCATTTGCTTAATATCTGAACTTCCTTTATATGCTACAATTGTATAATACACACCAGACCATGTTTTGCAACTTTGCGAAAGAATATAGGTTATTCAAATGAACAGGCAGATGATGGCAGTGAGGTCAGCTCAGCTTTCCTCATCATGGTTCTATAGAACTTATCTTTTATGAAGGAAGGGAGAGACAGATTAGCTAGAAAAAAAAGTTAAATTAAAGATAAAAATAGGTCAGAGTGAGGACCAGAGAAATAGGAGAGAAAAAAAGGGATAACAGTGGGAGTGCTGGTAGAGTATTCAATGTTTTTTATATAATAATAATAATCCTTGTATTTGATATAGCGCCTTATCACATCTACGAGGCATTTCAAAGCACTTCACAGAATATACTGTAAAGTGAATTGACTGTATATTTTGTGGGTGAAATATGCACAGTGTTTCTAGTTTTATTTAGTTTAGGAAAAAAATTACAGTAATGAAGCCATTTGCGGTGGTTGAGTAGCTTCATTTCTACATCAGAAATATTGGCAACATTATACAGTACTGTATTACGTGGTATGCATATCTCTTGGAAGGAGTTTAAGGGTTAAATATGAATGCACACCATTGACAGTTTGATCTTTAGTTTTGTTGGCACAGAAAAGCCCTAGACTGAACCTTGGCATTAGGCACAGCATTCATTACAGCCCATCCCTATTTTACAACATTTGCACTGTTTAACTGCCATTCTAATTATAGCTGAGGGTGTGGAGGCAATAGGTAAATTAGTCCCCACTCAGATCTCCTGCAAAACATTTATATCTACCGATAACCTGGGGTCCAAGGATACCAGCAGATTTGGATTCCTTTCTCACATCAAATTAAACTTAGCACGTAGCAGAAATCTCCAGTGGCTCAGAAAAGGGCAGATTTATATTTCTTCAATCTTCTTTCTTCACTGTGCTGATTTATGCTTAACTTTTCTGCCACAGGCATGAGTTGTCCACAGGCATGTCACCAAAGTAGCAATTTATTAAGTGTGAGTCCAAATCATCAGTGTTATCAGTGTCATCCATGTCAGATCTGAAACACCAATCCTATTTATCACAGCATTTGTTTACATGTCTAGCTCCATGACTTAATGTGAATGGTGTGAATATTACAATACAAATATGTTTATGTAGTGTACTCATTGCTTATCAGAAAGACATTTGAGTCACAAAAGTAGAATTTTTAACTAGTTCCATTGCAAATAAAGTGGAGCTGTAACTTGACTTTGAAGTCTAAATCCAATTCCCACTGACCTGATTTTAAAAATGACAGACACTTCTTCACATTGTCAATTATGTCAATTATCAGAATAGAAGAGAACGTTAAACAACATTCATTAGTTACTTACAGAAGTATACTTAGATGCTATTTTTAAAATCATATTTCCAACCATGCTTATTAAATAAGCACAACATTTGTTTTTCATGGCCTGAATTCGGAGCTTAACTCAGCCTGGGGAATGCAATTGAACCAATTCTTGCCTGAAATGCTCCAGTCTTACTCAGTCTATTCTCTATCCTGGAGGGGATACATTCTTCAGCCACCCAACTGATATGCATCATTTATCAATCCAAGATATCAGATTTCCATGTTATTTTGCAGATTATTGCTACTGAATATGCACTCAAATCTTTTCAGAGCTTTTGCTAACTCCAACAAAAATCTTTGGGACAAGTAATTTTAAATTCAGGTTCTTGACAGTCAAACACATGCCAGGGACATTCCAGAAAATGATTCCGCATATGGGGATCTGTACAAACTCACTTCGGAAAAGTCTCAGCCACAATGAATCCTCCAAAAGGAGCTTTGGTGAAGTCGCCCAAACCTTGTGCTTTTTTTCAGGTATCAGAAACATTTTTGTGCGATATTCCCTGATTTATGCTGTTGATTACAAACCAACAGCTCACCTCTATGAGCCAATCACTGATATTGGGTCATTTACTTTATGAAACAAAGGAGGTCCCCTAAACTTGCCGCTTATACAACACCAAAAATAAGGAATGATCAGGGATGAATTTCTACATTATATCCAGTCTTGTATGACACAGGTTGGTAATGAAGGAATTAAGGTATCCTCTCTTCAGACTACAAAGATCCTGAGAGAATAAATTTCAAACTGTGTCAACCCAGTTGCTATAAGATATCTAGCTCAAATTACCACTGAACTGATAATATCATTCAGACAGACTTGTGGGATAGTGATGTGTAAAACGAAACATTTATATTATTACATTAGGGTAGTGAAATGTACTCAACACTTGTGAAATTGTGGTCAAGGCTTGTTACTTATGATGACGGAGGAAGTTCTACTCTGCATTTTTTTTATGTATATCTTGCCTGACAGTTTGATGAAACACTGTAGAGAGAACTTGACTCTTATCTATCTGTTCAACACCTGAACTGCTAGATGGGGCTGTGGTGGGACAATATTTACTCTTTGTCTAACTTGTGCTATATCTGAGGTGCACATGATGGATGGAGCTTTGTAAAGGAAACATTGGTCTTGATCCAAAGCCAGGAGTGTAACTCGCTCATCAGTGCCTGGTCCTGACAATGAATGCACAACATAGAAAAATGTCCCCTAACCTAGAACCTAAATGTGAACTCAGGTCCGAAAAAAGTAGCAAAACACAGGTCAAACATTATTCTCTTTACACAACAATAGATATAACTATAAATGATTGTTTCCCTTGTTCGCTCCCCTCAATTATCAAAGCAAACAATGACTAACCAGATGATAAAAAGAACAAAAACAAGAGAAGAGAATTGAAACATAGCTTGACTTTTAACAAAAAGAACAGATGGGGGAGTAAAAGTATTAAGTGTGGTGACTATGTCAAGTATTTATACTATCTAAAACAATTACTAGTTTGACAAATCAGACACAAAAACTGGTGCAACGGGTAATCTCATGTGCTCATTCTTGACTGGTGTGACTAATACCAATAGACATTCCAATCAATGTAAATCAGGCAAGTGCCCCACAATCAAGCAATGCACAGCGACTCACTGTAAAACTGTTGTTGACATTTTTCGTACTGGATTCTGCGACGCTGGCATCGGTCAAATCCACTTCATCAAATATGATGGACTGAAAGAAGAAAAAGGCAAATCAGTCAATGAGAGAACAGTGTGTTGTGTGCGATGGTACCCAACTACAAGGCAGCCAAAGATAAACTCTTAAAACAGCTCCACCTCCACATTAAACAGACATCTATGAGGAAGGGCGGGTGGAACTAGTGGTTTACAAAAATACTCAAGATTGTAATATGATTGTAAACTTGTTTTTCTGTTTCACTGTAATTGGATGTTTCGTGGAATCTGTCAAAATGAAAGACATATGTTAAAGACATACAATATATAACAGTAAGAAAAAGTATGTGTCCCAGTCCCAAGGGTATAATATTGTACACCAGATCTCTGCATTCTCCATATATTAACAATGTGTCACACTGGATTTCAGTGCAGTTATATTAACAATAGGTCACACTGTATCGAGGTATATAATACAGGGTCATTTTATCTCAGTGTACTGCAACCATCAACTGTGTAACAATGTAATGGATATAATAACACTGAAACACACCGTCACCCAATGTTCTGGATTCACTGATAAGGATTTGACTGTATCCCAGTCCCTACAGGTATGAGCAGTGTCACATTGTATCACCATCTTACAATACAAGCTCGATATCCATACCTACTAACCAGGAAGGGTTACTGGACAATAAGAAGGATTAAGAGCTCGGACTGATTTCCCATTTTGCTAATTCAGTGCTAAAACCAACTGATACACCCTCAGTGCTACCAACAGCTGAGATCAGGTAACAGCATAGATCTGATAATCCACCTACTGGGATACACAGCTCTAATATGAACCAATTTACTCATCAAGGAAGCTTGATCTGACTATATTAATGCAGGGTCTTCCTGAAATACCAATAAAAGCTCCTCCTCTTGCTCCTCCTGCCTCTGTAACCTACTAAAACCAAACTAATCTGCCCGCTCCCTTCGCTCGACAGGCACTGGCCTTGTTCCGAATCCCCCACCCTACCAACTCTACCATTGGTACTTCTCAACCTCTTGGAACTCCATCCCAGAATCCCTTCAACTTACCCTCTCCCTTGCCTCCCTCAAGGCCCATCTCAAGACCTTTCTCTTTGACCGTGCCTTTGGTCATCCTCGCACCCCCATCCCCCTTGCTCTCCACTCCTCTTGATTCCAACCCCCAGTTTGGGTACAAACACTCGACTGTCCTCCCAACATGAAAGGCACAATATAAATACCATTTGTTTTTGTTACATAATGTAGGCCTTCTGCATTCCCATTGTTCTTTAACACAAAGGGTAAACTGTATCCCGCTGTATCTAATGGCATTGGAAGTAATAAAATAATATTATGTTGCAAAATTCTTCCTTTCAGTTTGTGGATCAGGACTTCCAAGCACTTCAAGTTTATGTATGGTGCATTCCTGCTTGTGTTTAAATCCATCAGTAGGCTGCCAAGTTGCTATGGCCTTTGGGTCTGGAAGCTCAAAGCTAAATTTATACCGTGTGAATTTCTAGATGGCACCAGCCAGCCTGAGGGGAATTTTCCAGTAAACACCAATATTAGAAACTTCTCATGCACGTAGTTATGGTAAAGTGAACATTCTGGTAAATCACACATCGAGTAAGATCTCAATACAAACATCCCCATCTATTTTAAAACCTTTTAAATATTAGTACAAATTCTAATAGGCCTGGATTCAAGTACCGCAAATTCTTTTCTATTGCAGCTTTACACAGTACTGTGTATTATCCCACAATTAGTTCTGGAGGAAAAGTCCCAAAGATGTCATCTTATTTGCTTATTAGTCTGTACTAGCTTCCCATAATCCTCATTCAATAATAATCCTCACATATCTGCCATTTCAGCCAAACAAACATGAATAATTACATCCCCCTCCCCCCAGGAAAAAACCATAAAAATCGTACAACTTTGAATCTAATTTTTGAACAGCTTATTAGTTTTCTAAGCATACACGAAATTTACAAAAGCAAAAGTCCATTCCAAGAGCTTCAGCAAAATGAGACTAAACTGGAACTTGGTTGTTGTCTTGATTGGAGCTAGTTTTAATGTGCTGGATATGAAGCAGGTTGTATTCATTTCAACGATAGGTTGCCGGCATGCTCTGTAGGTCCTCCAATAGCGCCCCTTGGTGGTGAGGGTAGCTATGTATTTATGTATTATTTCAGCTATCATATGTTAGAGCAGCATCTTCGCTAACAAAATAACCTTGCTTATGGTAGACTTTTCAACAAGTCTCCTGACTGCACCTCTTCAAAGCTGTTTTATCACAGCGTCACAAGTTACACGTTATCCCGATTCTGGTGAACTATCAAGGTTACTATGAATCCTGCTGATAAATAGGAAGTGTCATTACTAATCAATATCAAAATATTGTCTGACATCGGAATATCCCAAGGAACCTGGAAAATCCACAGAAACTGTGGAGGTTGTCTTAAATGTTCGCAGCGGCCAAACACAACTTACGCTGACTTGTAACATGCAGGGATCCTGGGCCTGATTGCCATCAAGTGACACCCTGCTGAAAGGTGATGAGGAAAGGTTTGGAGTCGTCTGTGAAATTCTGTCATGGACACAGGTCACTGACTGGTAAACAATAGCAGGGATCTTGGCACATTATTTTTCATACTTTAACACAGGAATTCAGAGACCATTTCCCTATCACTACAGAAGCTGAAATCAGCTAAGCATGTTGATGCTCACTGTCTGGCTGTACCATGAGAAAGAAAACTCGGTTAAGGTAAAGACAGTAAGCTGCTGGAATCCAATGGAGGAAATTGGAAAAACACATTTTACAGTAGAAAATCCCCTGGAATATTAAACGATTCTTACAGGTTCAATCATACATAAAGCCACAATGTTCAACATTCAAACATACATCAAGAGAAATGATTGAAGTGAATCTCCGGCACATCACATTCCCAGACAGCAATGATCCACAAATATTGCTTTGTTTCGCACAAATGGGACAGAAATGGGAAATGCTCACCTTTGCATTCTTTGCATAATACAAGGTGCGGCCACGGAGCTTGAAGTATCGTCTTTTCCAGCGTTGAAATGAACTTGTCTGCTTCATCAAAAGGCCTTCCTTTATAATGGTCTGTGAGGAGTGAAAATGTGAAGGTTTTTAGAAGTGGAATCATAAACACCTGAATATGCAGCAGATCTTTCCCACCCCAAAACCACACTCTTAGAAAACACATGTAGGTAGACAACTACACGACAAAGAGTCTCCCCTTCGAAGCAAGTGGCATAGTCTGTTTGGCTCAGTTGGTTGCACTCTTGTCTCTGTTAAGGTTGTGAGTTCATTACCCACATTAGGTTGTGAGTCAGAAGGTTGTGAGTTCATGTCCCACATCAGGACTCAAGCTCACAGTTGTGGGATCTCCCTGGTCTTGCAATGTCTGTTGTAGTTACTTAAAATACAATGACTACACATGAAAGGAGTTATCTGTGAATCAGTTTGAGACTTTTTGGAATGATAGGATACAATAAAAATACAACGGGGTGGGATCCTTTCCTATGAAATGGCAACATTTTCTATAATTAACCCTGCCATCCTACAGTTTACAGGTTCGATAAATGTAGAGAATAATTAGTTCTGAAATAAGCAATGCCTATTTGAACCAAAACATATGGCTTTAATTTCACATTTGTACTTGCAACAGGAAAAATAATCATTTTAAAAGAAAATTCACATTCCAATACGTATTCTGAACAGCTCTCGGTGAATTCACTGAATTAATTTGATCTGGGGCTTCAGACAAAATCTCAATCCTCCCTTACATGATAGGTTACAATTACTCAGGTATCTTGTTCTTGAGGATAATGCTCCAATTTAGCCCACTACTTGCTTTGCAGATGGTTAAACATCGCAAGAGAACCTATTACTGTCTGAAACAGATTGTACACAATCGCCTTCCAGTAATGTGCAAAGCTGATTTCAGGAGGATCAACTCTGGTGAATTCCGACAAGCCTGCCTTTAAATGGAGAGCGTCAGCGCAAGGATCCTTTTAAAGAGGGGTTTCAGTGCAATAACACCCCGTCCATAAACAATCCACAATTAAACATTCTGTACTGATTTTCTGTCATTGGAATTTTTGAAATATTTTTCCGTCAGTGATGAGGACTGATGACATCAATGAGGAGGAGTTACTGAGCTAAACAGTCAGAGCAGCAACGTCAGTGCAGTCAGAACCTTAAGAAGATGGCATTTCTGTGATGTGTTATTGAGGTTAGTTAAATTGGCAAAATGCGTTGGTTGCTTCCCTATTACTCAAACAATTGGCAATAACCGTTTCTGTGTTTTAACATTCAACACATTATTGCATAGTTATGTCTAGAAAATTATGAGTTCGGATAGACACTGCCATCTATGTAATTATTGGTGATCGAGAAGGCACATATTATAAGTTACATGGAGATGGCTAACTACTGTAGTTACATGGAGTCACCCGACTGTGGGTTACAGGAGACGTACATCTATCAGTTACATGAATTATAGAAGCCAGATGTCTAGCAGTTGTGCAGAGAGCAGGAAGACATAGAAAAGTATATGTTACAGACATGGGCCAGTGAGTTACACGATTGCAATGTTACTGAGTGAATCACTGACTATTTGAGTGAAATAACTTTCAGGTTGCTTTTACTCCCACTCACTCATAACCAGGTTCAGTAGACCTAAAGAGTCCATCTTGAAATAACTATTTAAAGCATTCAATACAAAAAAGTCATGGTGGGCAAAGAAAACAAAGAATTTTGTAGCGACTTGGAACAGAATCTTAAATGGGGTCTGAACGGAGAGCCTCAGTTTTGAATGGCCCCTGGTAATAAGTTTCTCTGTGAAAGATCCTGCTTGTGGCCCCTCAAATTAATAACGTACAAAGAGTTACCAGACATCCTTTCCGAAGTACTGCGCAGTACAAATAAAAATAGATGTGCTCTTGTTCCAGTCTCTCCTGCCCCCTCTTCCAAATCGCTAGTTATTTTGATGACCGGGTAACATAAAGCTTTGTGATTATTGGCATCAAAAAAGTTACTTTCCCATCACTACTTTGCATGGACTAAAAAAGAAAGCCACAAGATTACGTAGCATTTTGCTTCATTTAGAAAGTATGGGTATATATCAACGCCTCAGCTGTACCACCTTCTCGATATATATATACTTATACTTAAATATATATATATAAAAAACAAACCAATTCTAAAAGCAGCTGCTGTAAGAAGGCATGTTTCACTGGAATTCTACAATATTGTATTCTTTAACCCTTCCTCTTCCCTCCTTAGAGTCACAATTGCTGATGGAAAACTTCTAGGTTTTGCAATGGAAACCAATTATGCATCTCCCTGTATAATGTGGTAGTACAAATTACATCCCTGAACCATTGCTGCCTTCTCTTGCCATGATTGCCCCTCTCCCATCACGACTGACTTTTCCCCCTACACTGTCCCTTTGCCCTCCCTCCATCCATCAAAACTTTTTCCTCTCCCCTTCACTGACACCCTCCACACTGCCCTCTGCAGAAGCACACAATATCCATTGATTGACGCTCCCCTCGAATAAAGCGCAGTGTAAAACAAATACTAACTTATCATTTGCAAACGTTTGTTGTTGGTTCAGTACATCAGGATAGATTGCTGTCTGTGGGACATTGCTGGTGCAAGTTAGTTTGCCTCCACAACACAGAAAGCTACTTTTTGACTTAAAAGTAATATATTGTATGTAAACATTCCTCAGTTGTAACTTCAGGCAATGGATTGCATGTCCAGTACGGATTGTTTCAGGGCTTTCCGCCTCCAATTTTTAGTTGCTGATTGTGCCTGACTACAATTCCTGACTGACTGCTGCCCTCTGGTACCTCACTCAAATTACCACCAGGTGTGAACAGAGCTTCGCACATGAGGAATAGTCATTAGCACGCTTTTGTCTAAAAGTATCCCAATAACTAATACAATATAATAAATAATAATCCTTGCATTTGATATAGTGCTTTTCACGTCGGGAGGACGTCCCAAAGCGCTTCATAGAACACACTGTAAAGTGAATTGACTGTATATTTTGTGAGTGAACGCGGCAGCCAATTGCGCACAGCAATGTCCCACAAACAGTCGTAGATTGAAGATGACCAATTTATTATTGTTTTGGAGGGATTATTATTAGGCGTATGGAGTAAGGAAACTTGCCCAAGGTTTCGCCCTCTGCCTGGAATTGAACTCAGGTCTCTCGCTTGCAAAGCGAGTGCTCTAACCACTGAGCTACAGGACTCCACAAATGGTGGGAGTTGGAAATAATACTTTTATTGGACAAAACTGTAAAGAAATCATCACATTCCCCCATCCTTTCAACTTCTACAGTTACAAAACTGGACAATTTTGACCCACTTCTTACTTCCAAAGCATTTAGGAAATAAACCACATCCTTCCTTATGACCCACTTCAAGCATCTCCAGGGAGGAAGGCAGTTAATGGACTATGATGAGGAGCAGGCTGCTACAGTCACAGCACTGATTATGCTGCCAGTGCTCTCTTTACCTGCTATTTCCTGGATCATTAACACTCAAAGCTGCTGCCACACAGGTCTAATTGTAGAAAACTCTAAAAGTAGGTCAGCTCAGGCCTCGTGGTCTGTCCAATTCACTTTGTATACCATGCAAGTTAATAATAATAATCCTTGCGTTTGATATAACGCCTTATCATGTGTTCGAGACGTCTCAAAGCGCTTGATAGGAAATACTGTAAAGTGGATTGACTGTGCACTTTGTGGACGAGATGCAGCAGCAACGAAGCAGTGTCCCCCAAACTGCCATGGAGTGAGTGACCAATTTTATTTGGGGATTGTTGGCCAGAACACTGGGAGAAACTTACTTTTCTTTTTTAATAGTGCCATGATTAGTAGTATGAAATGCATTCGTGTCTGTTAAAAAAACATTTCTACGACCATGTTGTAAAGATCCAGCACCCTAACTGCCCGCAGCACTCAACAAATACCCAGTCACTCCACTTCACAGGAAATCCTGTGACGTCCTTTGAGAGAGCCTCTCGATGTGAAAAGCGCAATACCAAATGGAAAGATTATTAGAATTATGTGCATTGCATGAAATACACAACTTGGCTTTTTTTCCTTCCTTTACCCAGTCTCCAAATATTTAGTTATTTGCTCTTTTGGGTCTCTGCACTAAACTGGTGACCGAACAAGGACGGGTCACAAGTGTTCGACTGAGGTAAAGTGATCTTAACCACATTTAAATGCAGTATATTCAATATGAATACCATGATCAATTTCCTAGTGAAAACAAAAAATTCTGTTTCCACACCTATCTCCATTAACTAGCTTCAGCGCAACAGAAACATAATTGAGACGCGATGTTAACTTAACGAACAGATCACACTGCATTTGCTAGTGTTCCTTCCATCCAGCTTGAGAATGATACTGCATGTGACGTTTCACCTCTGCCATTCTCCCCCATGTATGTAAAATTATAATAATAATATTCCTCGCATTTGATACAGTCGGGAGGATATCTCCAAGCGTTTCTACAGGATCGAGGGAACGATCCTTGTCCTCACCTTTAAAGCCCTCCATGGTTTTTCTCCTCTCTACCTCTGCAACCTATTAAAACTTCATCAATCTGTCCGTTCCCTCTGCTCTGCAAGTACCAGCCTGCTCCACTATCGGCAGTCGGGCCTTCAACGTTTCTGCCCCATCCTCTGAAACTCCATCCCGGAGCCCTCTGCCTCACCCTCACCTTTGACTCCTTCAAGGCCCATCTCGAGACCTTCCTTTTCGACTGTGCCTTCGGCCACCTTCCCCCTCCACCTCCCTTGCCCTCCACCCCTCTCTGATTCCAACCTGCAGCTTGGGTGTGAACCCCTCATTGTCTGGAGCCTTGGGACGTCCTCCCGACATGAAAGATGCTATATACATGCAATGTTTTGTTGTTGTTGAACCCCAAACGTTGGCAACAATTGCTGTGAATCACAAAGCGTTCGTAAGGTGCAAAAAGAAATTATTTCTTTCATTTACAACATTCACTTTAGAGAGGTTTCCAAATGTAAGAGAAAATGTAACAGAAACTGCTCCCCACATAACTGGGTCAGGC